GGAAATACAGGCATATTCTGGAAATTAGGGTAGGTGATTTGTTAGGATGTGGAACAGTCTCCAGGGAAATCATAAAAAAAAAATGTTACTTAATATAGCCTAAGTGTACTTTGATTATAGAGCCCACAAGGAAAATTCAAATACTACCTGAAACAGATGACAAACACTAACTTTAGTTTCTGAAGATTTTAGAATATTCTTTAGGAAGAGGAAAGTCAATTGTTGAAATAATTTAGCTTGGCCAATTGAACTAATTTTAGCAAATGAAGGCATTTGACATTGTTAATCTTGTGAAATGTTAATAATTGAAATTTGTTCAAGTATTCTATTGTGACATCTACCTTAATACACTGCAGTATAAGAAGACAAGTTCCCTATAAGTAGAGGACGGTTAGGATACCCATTTATCTTAGGACAAACTTGCAGAAATGACTTCTAAAATGATCTGTGAGAATAAATGTCAACCTAACAGCACCCAGGAAGCAGAAGAGTTATTGGAAACCTGGCACAGCTGATTGGACTCCTAATAACTAGGCTGTAGATTCCGTGATGTGGACCTTGCCACCTCTGGTGCAGGCTGCAATACAGTTGCAAAAAAAAAAAAAAGAAAAATTCTATTCTGCTAGCTTCTACTGACTTGGCATCAGTGAGTCCTGAAAAGATCACAAGTACTGTTTATCTTTGGAAAATTCAAAATTTACATTAGGCAAGCAAGTGACCCGCAAGGGTTTATAAAGACATCCATTATCTGTTTAGGAATCTAACAAAATGACTCTATTTTAGGTAGTGTTTATAAATTGTTTGCAATGATAGATAACATTATTGTTAATATTGAAGTCATTTGTAGGATGTCTAATAGATGGAAATCCAAAAGTAAAATACTTCTTTAAAGAAGTTAAAGTTCTGGAGCATAATTTTAAATTTCCTTCAAAAGCTCTTGAAAGAAATTTATTTTTAATAAAACCATATGTGTTCATCTTTAGAAAAAACAGCATTATATTTATTTTACTGGCATTTGATGTAAGTCACTTTTATTATAAAATATTAATCAATGAAAGGAAAATAATGTCTTGTAAAATTTCTTGCCATTTTTCATAAAAGTGGTTTATTGAAACATAAAAATATTTAGTTTGCTCACTAAATAGATGTGCTATTAAGCTTGTACTAGCTTGTTTTGTATGGCTATCTAATTATTTATTGGTCTATCATCTGTTTATGCATTCATACATTTATGTACCTATATTATTTGATAAAGGTTGAAAGGGGCACATTGAAAATATACTTCACAAATGCAGAATGAGGGTACAAAATTCAGTCAAAATAAAAAGAACCTAAGTACATTCTTTAAGAATTTTTTAACACAGTAAAAGGAACTAAAATAGCTTATTTCTCCTGGAAGTTTTATTAACATAAAATCCTTAAAGCTATCGTCAGCTGCAGTACAGTACATCACACCTTCAATTAGCTGCTGAATCCTTTCAAGTATTCTTTGCTAAAATAATGGGCAATGCATACAAGTGTTCTGTATTTGGTATTATTAAGCTGATGGCAGCAAAAATACAAACCTACCTGGAGCAGAACAAATGGATGAAAAAACAAACAACTCCACCAACGTGGAGGGAAAAGTTGCATTTAAATTAATAAAGGAAAATCTCAAGATATCTAAGTCATCTTCTCCAAACCAATATCATTCTCATTGAAAGTATGAAGAATGCTTTTGGAATTGCTGTTCATTTATGAGTTTGAAATGTTATAATAAAGAAATAAAACATTATTTTTTTCTAAAGAGACATCTTTTAAACAGGAAAATAATCCAAAGGAAATGACACAAAAAATTAAAATACAATATGGTGCTGATTTTTAACTCAAATCACATAAATATTGCCACAAAATTTCCAAGGCAAATAAGTTTTTATTTAATTTATATTCTAGCTTTCTTTGGAAATTGTTGGGTGTACTAGAAATTAGGATTTAATATTTGAACTCTACATGAGATCATTATTTGGACATGGCTGTCATCATCAGTAAAGAAAGTTGTCTTCTACACGTGTTCACTGAAGTATTTGTGGCACTGCCTGTCATGATGCTTTTCAAACAAATTAGCAGAATATATTTACCAAGAAAATAGTAATATACTTGCTCAATACATTTCCAATTTCTTCTGAGTAAACTGCTCATCATGTAAATTGTCTGAAACCCAGATTAAAAGGTAGGCTCTGAGAGCATATTTTTGATGTCCTGTACTGTTTTTCTTCAAGCACTGCCTTCACTGTTTACAACTGGCACACATTAAAAGTACATATGTCCATTAAATGTGAGAGTGATTTCTATTTGAAATGCTAAAAAATTAAATTGATAAGATTAAATAGATAGTACTTAACTACGTAAAGTGGGTGACTCATACTCAATCAGTGAATACCAGGTACTTTGATTTCCTTACTTGCCTCAGCTGACATCAAGTTAGGTACTCACTTACTTATTCATGATGGCTTGATATCTCACCAAAGCAACCAACATGAATCAAAATGGCCACAGGAACAAATTCTCCCATTTCACGACAAAGTTTTATAGAAAATGCACATGTTGCTCATATATATTCCTACTATTAAATTTTAGCCTCTTAAACAAGTTAATACATTCTACTAAACTTTACTTTCTCATATCAGATAAAAGGAGAATATTTTAGATGTTTCAGGTTAAATTGGTTAATGTTGTAATAAAGTTTCCATTGTTTATATTTAGTGTTAAGAACCTAGCAAATTCTAATTCTATTCTCTGAATCCATATGGCCAGAAAGAAAAACAGACATTAATGTGCATAAGAAAGACAGACAGACAGATAAGGTAGATTGAGATGAGAGGGATGAGAAAAGGAGAGCAGAATCAAGTATACTGGTTAAATATAAGGATTTGAAGGCAGCACTCAGTGCCATTCATTATGATGTTTCTAAACATTCATCGTTTCTTCCTTACACAGTAAAATAGATTTATTATGGAAGTAATAAATAAAAGAAGTAAATGGATTTATGAGTAAAGGAAATGTATAGCTAATCTTATTATTTTAAAAAAATGGAAGTCAGTGTTCTCTCCTAAATAAATCATAGCTAAGTCTATCTTTCAGTTTCACAAGAATCTTGCTGTGTATTTCATAGCAATGTATACAAATGATTAACTTTACAAGAGACATTACACTTGGCAACCTCACTCTTGTATTAGCAATTACTTCATTAGTGATAGTAATTGAAATATATGATTACTTGGACCTTCTTTCAAGAACGAAAGTCACTTTCCTAAGACATTATCTTTTGATATAGAAGATAAGGACATAGTATTTTACTATAATTTATACTTTCAGGCATACTTAGATAGACATTTCTTTTTCTACAGGAGAAACTTTACCAAATACGCTACTGTTATGGTTTAGTGGCTAGAGCAGAATCAGAGTTAATCTTTGCAATGGTTGCTGGGGTTTTTGTTATGCTTAGTATTTTAAAATGCCTTACAAAGGTGCCACAACCTATTAAAAACTTCATCTACTGTGTATCCCCTTACAAATTATATTTACTGTGTTATCTTTTGGTCTCCTAATTTATCACAAACCCAAAATGGGACAGTTTTGTGCTATGCTCTCATATAATGAAATCCAGTAGTAAAATGTACCTAAAAGGTTTATATAAATTATAGAGCCACAGCCGACTATAACCAGGTAGGGCTCCTCACGTAATTATCCAAGGCTTTAGGAAGTATACATACTAAAGAAGTATTCTATTTGCTTCTGCTAAGAATAAGTTTTAAGAAAGAGTAGTTTCACCACCCACCATGCTGTTATGGTAAATACATAAATGTAGCCATTCGTCTAAAGCTTATTATTTAAACAAGCATTTACATGAGGCCATCCTGAAATACAATAATATTTTGGAGTGAACAAATATTCATTGTTCTATGCTGATTATACATTTCCTTTTGTTTTGAATGTATCTAAATAAGTAGGCATAGATATTTGATATGTACATGATTGAAATGTTTATACCGAAGTTTCATTATGATTTGAAAAATTCCTAAAATAACTCTGCAATGAAGACAAAATCTTATTTGGAAGAACCATTAATAAGTGACCTAGAAGCTGCATGACCTTAAGTTTAAGTGTGGTCTCTCACAAGAAGGAACTACAAGAGTTTTAATATTAAACATACATAAAATATTGTCAATAACCTGAACACTAAAATGCAAGTAATCTTATTAGCATATCTTTATTTATAAAGTTTGATTCATGTGACATATCTTTTCATCTTATTTAAAACATCAATAAAATCTCTTCATTGTCTTACACAGGAGCATATCTTAGTTTTCTGTGAAGGAATCATTAACAAATATCTCATAGTGACTGAAATAACTAAAACATCATAATTAGTATGAAGTTATACCAAATATTCTGAAAATAATACCTTATATTTCTTCTTCATCTATATCAGTGTAAACCAGTTTATGTTTATTTGCTATCTATGAGAACATAAAGATGTAAATCCAGAGCAACCGAGTCTCTCTCAGTTATTATTGCATTCTTGAAAATCTATTTTGAAATTACAATCAAAGCTAAAAATAAAACAACATGGATAAGAAATATAAAATCTGTATCATGTTTTTTCATCTAAAATTGCTTTCCAATTTTAGTAATATAAATGATAGCATAATGTTCCTAAATTTTAAGCTGATGCATGCCAAATTTTCCTTGTTAATCAAATCCAAACTAGGCAAGGTTAGGAAACATCCATAAACTCACAACCTAGTGTGAAGAGTTAAACTCCCCTTTAAGAAGCTCCAAAGGCACTATCCATTGTTGCTGTGATAAGGAAAAGCTTTGTTGTCTAGGATCACTGTTGGTTTTCTCTGATACATTATCAGCGCTCTAGTCCCCTGTGATAAACAGCATTGCTAGGGCTGATAGGTTTATACAAATGACTTAAGCTTTATACTTGTTAAGCACTGAAAGACATCACTCACCTTGTTCAAGTGGTTGACTTTTAGCTGAAGTAGTTTTCATCTTGAGTGCCTCCCTAACAGACATGTCACAGCAGGAGCCTTTGTTAGTGTCTTGGTCACTGTCAGCCTGATCACTGTCCCCGTGCCCACTGTCTCTCAGGCTGGCTCTTTCTGGGTCCTTAAACGTGGAGCTACTGAAATACATATAAAGAAAAAGAGGAGAAAGTGTTGTCTCTACCAGTTTAAACCTGGAGTGTAGACTCTTGCAAAGCAATTTTGACATGAATGCAAATGGGGAAGCCGAGAAAGTTATTTAATAGGCCTTACCTTTGAACAAACTGCTGCCTGCTGCCCATGTAATTGGGCTCTGCGGGAAAATTGTCTGTCTGTGAACGAGAAGGAAAAAAATACGTATAGTTGTACACTGGACAAATCTCCTGCAGAGCAACAAGATTTCCTAGTGGAAAAATGATTAATAATTCAAAAATTCCCTTAATCTTCAGATTTGTACATTTTAATTAAATTGGAAATTGCTGACATGTAATTATGTACTCAGAACAATTAAATGACTCCGGTCCACAAATTACCTGTTAAAGTAAACAATGAACCTGCCATAACTGGCATTATCCATTAGTACCAGGATGGATAACACTATCTGTGTTGTTTCATTACACAGATATTAAGATTGAATATTTGTGGGAGGAGTAGGAAAATGACCTAATTTCTCCATATTAAAAGTATGCATTATTTAATAACACTCATTTTTATACATAGTTGCATCATCTGCTGGAATTGTCTGCCCTTCCTGATGTAATATCATATAAAGTCATCTACTCCATTAAAAGATAGATGGCCTTTCCTGAAACTGTTACTAGGAACAGATACAAGCATGCCATGAATGGTTGAATTCATTTCTAGTTCACTCTTAATTACATCTCAAGTACAAAAGCTATATCCAAACAATCCACTGGCAATGGATATCCCTTTCTGAGTCTTTAAGACAGAGTGAAATGAGAAAATTTTAAAGTTACTTAAGTATTAAGAGTAAAGACATTGAGAAGCCTGTCTTGTCGTTTTTTACTGCTTTCAAACTGACATGGAGATCTGCCAACAAGGACTGAATTCTCCTTGTATCTTGGAACAGAGTCTTTTGGGAGAAATAGACTGGATCTTTCATAGATTTCCCTATACTGTACATTCACACACGTTACTTCTTCGTGCAGCTGACTCGGTGACAATGCTTCCCCTGTTTTCTGCATTCCTTCATATCACACAGTTATGTGCTGGAGCAGCTATGGGTTAGTACAAGACCATCCAGCATACAAGTATCAGACATGCGGAGCATGCAACCCGTGAAACAAGAGGGCCAAGGTAAGGCTTAGTGCAGTGAAATATGTGCTTTCTTTATAAATAAGGCTATTTGAAAAGGCAGGGGGTTTTGTTTATCTTTGTTTTGTTTTTACTTTCTGTGTAGCAATTGAATTTATTTGCCTTTGGGAAGTGCTACTTGGAAAACTAAAAAGGGTTGAAGAAAATTGATGAAAATATTACACAACTTTGCTTGCCTATAAATCTGAGATTACAAAAATACATTCACAGATTTCTTAATCTGTGATCATCTTATTTTGTAGACACGATTACCTTTATCAAGCTACATGGGAGATTAGGTGAATTGTGTGGATTCATGCTTCAACCCAACAGTACTTAGCGAACAGTTAGAGGCCTGTAGTTTTCATCATGTGCCTGAATCTGGATTCAGTGGAGTATCTTCTTTTTAGCTTCATAATGACAAACTAACAACTTCAACAAAAACTTTGTCTCTCAGCAAAAAAAAATATGGCTAAACTCTATACATGACATAATGTTTACACATGTACTAGCTAATTATAATAGTATCTACAAACTTGGGAATACTACAAACTTTACAAAATATATTTTGTCATTTAAGATTGTAGACATTTGTATCCAGTTCATGATCACTACCAGGGGAAAAAAGCCAAATATAATTATTTCATAAGGCTTTTGAACAACAGAGTCCAGTATGTTACGAATAAAGTAAGAAAGTAAAGTGAAATTGAAAGTTAGTTAGAAAATTTTGGTGTCACTATAAATAGTATTATGACTCCAATGGCTTCAATTGGGTGAAGCTTCTTAAGTATGATCCTGTTCAGTGATACATAAGGATAAAGATCGAGGAAACTTTTCACTCTCATCCTAAGTCAATTTCTGAAAACACATGCATGTTAGTAAAGTACATTCTCCCTAGATAAAGATTATAAAAGATTGTGTGTTCATGATGCATGCATGAATACGTGTGAACGCAACACATCAGTACTGCTACCAACACTTGTTTAGAGGAAGTTAGAGAAACAAAAGGAAGGGAGAGAAAAAGTGATTTAGTGAGAGAAAGAACAAGAAGAAGAAAAAAGCCGAAGGGACAAGTCAGAGAAACTACACAGAACAGAAAAACAGAAACGGAAGTATCTATGAAGGAGGCAAAAGATAGAGGGAGTGAAAGAAACACAAGGCAGAGAATTCATGGCTTATGATCCCAGCACTTTAAAAACTGCAAACACAGAAGCTTCTAATTTTATCAGTAATAAGTGTCAATGTTTATGAATATTGTCTAGGTACTCATTAAAGTAACTTGGAAAGCAAGTGACTGTATTAACTATCAGTTCCTGTGTAGTTAGCACAGAGCAACTTTGGATTTTTGCAAATATACAACTAATTCATTCTTTAAAAAATCTCAAAAATTCTTTATATATATATTTATATATATAATTTTATGACTCGGAAATAGCATTATTTTCCTGTAAAAGAAAAGTAAAAGGAATTCAGAAGGATCAGCATCATTTATTAAATGTAGATAGAGACTCTCTTCCAAATAATGTATAGGACTGTACTTTAAAAATCGAGTTCTGGTTTGTACAGGGATGAGTCTTAAGTTTCAACTTGGAAGAGCACAAAAGTGAGCTCAGACCTTTACAACTCTTTAGCTTTCTGCAGAGTCAGTCATTATTTTCTCATAACAAAGCAGATCTAAACAATGAAAAACTGAATGTTACTTGCTCTTTTTGTTTTGGTATGGTAATTTTATTTTTTGTGATAAAAAAATTATTTTGTTACTTTTGAGATAAGCAAACAAATCAATACACAAAGCAATCAAACACTTAAGTTTTGCAGAACATAAAATTCTTTCTTGATTATTTACCTTCATTTCTCCACCAGTACTTACTAAAGTACATGGCATTAACAATTCATGTTCACACAAGTATTTGTGTCAGCTACAATAAATAATAAGCTATTTCTATGCTGTACCACCTTCTGAGACACGCTTATCCTACTTGAATTATTAAGCACAAATCCTAAATTAAAAATAAAACAAGTAATTGAGAAAGCCTAAAAGTGTGCACAGTAAGACCTAATCATGAAATGAGCAACATATTATGTGAAAGAAAATATGCTATGTCATTTTCATACACCTTAGATGTGAACATAAAGTAGATCATAAAAGCAGGAGGAAAGCTTTTATTAGAATAGAATAAATGGAAATTATGACCATCTAATATATTAGGAAAATAATATTAAACTTATGAATACATAGTTTAACAAATATATAACTATATAATAATTAAAATTAATGTCTGAAATTATCAATATATTGTAATAAAAATAGCAAATATATTATATGTTGTATTATTATTAACATGGATTTAATATACAAATATATTATGTCCTTTTTAGACACAAACATATAAAATGGTGAGAGTTTGAAAGTTTTTCTCCCAGGCAAGGAGGTCCATTCTCACATCTCCTGGTTATCCCTTAATTCAAAGTCCTACCAAATTCAGGAAGGCATATGACATAAATAAAGGATATACAAATTGGAAATGGATAAAATATTTGCAGGCAATGTCATTAGATATATATGCTATATTTATGTTTAGTTAAAAGAGGGTAAAGCATTAGGCAAACTAAACTTCTCTAATGGATTATTCACAACTAAAATGTAAATAATATATTTTAGCACCCTATGATATTAATTAAAGAAATACACATTTAAAGTACTTGTGTGATATATATGTGGAGTACTGAAAAGTGATAGCATGAATTCGAGTTATAAATGGGCAGATGAGCATATATCTGCACCTGGAACCCTCCTCATTTATTTATTTTATTTTAGGTATATGAGCGTTTTGCCACATATATGCCTGTTGCAAATCAGAAGAGAACATTGGATTCTGTAAAACTGGAGATACAGATGGTTATGATCCACCATGTGGGAGATGGAAAACAAATACGGGTCCTCAGTGAGAGCAACAATTCACTTAGATACTGAGACATCTCTCCAGATAACAACTAATGTAATTTTTAATCTAAAAAAATCCATTTTTTAATTTTCCCATAGATTCTTCTATATCTCTTTTTCTCCTTTAGGGCTGAGATTAAGGTGAGGAACAGAAGATAGAGTCCAACATTTAAGTGGGGACTTAGCTTCAGTATGCTTTTATAGTTTTTATTTAAATTAGAAACATTCTTATTTTACATATCAATCCCATTTCCCTCTCCCTCCCATCCTGCTATGCCTCCCACCTACCCCCATCCCATCCCCTTTTTGCTGCTCAGGGAGGGCGAGGCCTTCCATGGGGAATCATAAAAATCTGTCACATCACATGTCTCTAGGCTAAGAGAGTATACCTCTATGTGGAATGGGCTCCCAAAGTCCATACATGCACTAGGAATAAATAGTGATCCACTACTAGAGACCCCATAGACCGCTCAGCCCTCCTAACTGACACCCATGTTCAGGGGGCTTGGTTCGGTCCTTTGCTGGTTCCCCAGCTATCAGTCTAGAGTCTGCGAGCTCCCCCTTGTTCAGTTCAGCTGTTTCTGTGGGTTTCCTTCAGTCTGGTCTTGACCCCTTTGCTCATCACTCCTCCCTTTCTGCAACTGGATTTCAGGAGTTGCAGTGCTTAACTTTTGGTGTCTGCTTTTACATTTTTAAATCTTTACATTTTTACAATGTCCTTACTAAATCCCAGAAATTCTGTCACCTCTAGCATTGTTCTTACTATTTGATATTTGGCCCAATATGAGTTTTATTTTCCATTTACATTATAACCATGAAATTCTGTATCATATTTCATGTACTGTTATTTATAGGTTGCTGAAGGCTAGATAGATTTTGTACAACCTATGATCTGAGCTAAATGTGTACTAGTGACAGGAACTTATCCCTTGATCTGAGGGACGGGCTTAGGTTCACAGGCCTTCCATCTGGTAAAGGAAATGGGAAGGTAAGAGCACATCAAGAAAAAACCAACAGTTTCCAACCCATGGCAATCATGTCCAGCAAAAGGTGTCCAGAAATTACAGAGCTGCC